GGAGAGAGAGAATCCTAAGCTGGCTCCACACCCAGTGTGGAGCCTGACATGGACTCAATCTCACAACCCTGGGATCATGACCTGAGCTGAAATCAAGAGTTAGACACTTAACCCAGGTGCCCTATCATGTTCTTTCCGTATATAAGGTTTTCTTTAACATTTCTTGTAGTGTAAATCTGTTAGTGATTAATTCCTTCAGCTTTTGTATGTCTCAGAAAAATCTTTATTTTGCCTTTCATTTTTGAAATATATTCTTGCTAGGTGTAGAATTCTAAGTTGACAGTTTTCTTCTTCAATACTTTAAAGATATTGTGTTAGTCTTCTGGCTTACATTGTTTCCTATGAAAAAATCTGTCGTCATTCTTATTTTTGTTCCTTTGCATATAATGTGTCTCTTTTCTCTGTCTGCTTCTAAGATTTCCTCTTTATTATTGGTTTTAAGCAATTTGATTAAGATATGCATTGGTGTTGTTTTCTTCATATATCTTGTACTCAGAGATTATTGAGCTTCCTAGATCTGTGGAGTTACAGTTTTCATCAAATTTTGAAACTTCTCAACCAATATCTCTTCACATATTTTTTATGCTATCCCATCCCTGCCTCTTTTTCAGGAACTCCAATTACACATACATTAGGCCACTTTAAGTTATTCCTCAAATCATGATGCTTTGTTCATTTTCTTTAGTCTCTCTCTCATTTCATTTCGAACAGTTTCTATTGTTGTACTTTCAAATTCACTAATCTTTGTTCCTGTAATATCTGATTTGTTTTTAGTCTCATCCAGTGACTCATCTCATACATTTTTGTTTTCATCTCTAGAATTTTGAGTCTTTCTTTTTATCCTCTGTGTCTCTCCTTGACATGTTCCTTTACCTCCTTGAACATATGGAATATAGTTTTAATAAACTCTTTTTATATCCCTGTCTCTTAATTTTATCCCCTGTGTCATTTCTGTGTCTGCTTCCATTGATTAACTTTTCTCCTCAGTATGAGCCATGTTTTCCTGCTTCTTTGAATGCTATGTAGTTTTTAATTAGATACCAAACATTGTGATTGTTACTTTGGTCAGGGTTGTATAGTTTTTTTTTATTTCTATAAATATTCCTAAACTCTGTCCTGGAATGCAGTTAAATTACTTGGAAACAATTTGATCCTTTAATCTAAGGCTAAATTTGTCCCAATTCTAACACTACACTCTTCTAAGTATTTTACCCAATGCCTTGTGAATTATGAGAATTTTTCACTCTGAATTTTTCACCCCATATACACTCCACAGATTGTTTCTTCTAATTCTTTCAGGTAGTATCTTCCCTGGCCTTACTTTCATCACATGCATATGCTGATCAGCACTCAGATTAAGATTCAAGGGGGTACACCTTAAATTTACACAACGTCTATGTCAGTTATATCTCAGTACAGCCCGGAAAAGATTCAAGAGGAATCCTCTGAAGCTCTCTGGAACTCTTAGTGTAGCTCTTTCCTCTTTGGTACTCTGGGCTGCAAACTCTAGCCGCCTTGGTCTGCCCAGACTCCTAACTTTTTCTCATCAATTGAAGGAGGTTTTCAGGCACCACCTGGGTTCTCCTTCCCTGCTCTGTGGCAAAATATCCAAGCAATAAGCTGGGGCAATAGTAGGATCACCTTGTTTGGGCCAGCTCTCTCAGGGTTCACTATTCTGTGCTGCCTGAAAACTATTGTTTCATATATTTTGTCCAGTTTTTAGTTGTTCTTAGTGGGAAGGGAAATCTGGTCCCTGTTACTCCATCTTTCTTTTTTTAATACAGATTTTAATATCTTAATTATTTCATAGTAATTTCTTCCAGATGACTTCTTTCCATTGGATTTTTCATTTAAAAATCCAGGTAATTGCATTTATTGAGCATCTCTGATGTGCCAGGGATCTCCTAAGTACTTTACGTGTATTTACATGTATTACAAAATTCCTGTCCTGTGGAAATAACACAGCATTATTAACTTTCTTCTTGGACCGGGCAAGACTTTACCTTGATATTCCATTGTATATGTATACTATACTTTCTTTATCTATTCATCCATTAGTGAATACTTAGGTTGTTTCCATATCTTAGCTATTATAAATAATGTTGCAATGAACATGGGAATACATGTATCTTTTCAAGTTAGCGTTTTTGTTTACTTTAGGTAAGTACCCAGATGAAATTGCTGGATCATATGGTAGCCCCATTTTTAATTTTTTGAGTTTTCCATAATGGCTGCACCAATTTACACTCCCACCAGCAATGCACAAGGGTTTTCTTTTCTCCATATCCTCATCACATTTGTTACTTCTTGTCTTTTTGATAAAAGCCATTCTAACAGGTGTGAGGATATCTCATTGTGGTTTTGATTTGTATTTTTTTGATGATTAGTGGATGTTGAACATCTTTTCATGTACCTGTTGGCCATCTATATGTCTTCTTTGGAAAAATGTCTATTCAGATCTTCTGCCCATTTTTTAATTAGATAGTTATTTTGTGTTTGCTGCCAGAGGGAAGGAGCATGGGGCAATGGGCAAAATGGATGAAAGGGAGTGGGAGATGTAAGCAACAGTTATGGAATGAATAAGTCATGGGAATAAAAGGTACAGCATGGAGAATATAGCCAATGATATTGTAATAGTGATGTAACAGGAAAAATTGTATCTACATATGTGGTGAGCATAGCATAATGTATAGAGATGTTTAATTACTATGTTGTACACCTGAAACCAATGTAATATTGTATGTCAACTATACTCACATAAAAAAATTTTAATAAAAATAAAAAAATAAACTAGCCTCTCCTTTCCCCAACTAAGTCACTCTCCATAACATTACTCTGTTTATCTTCTTCCTAGATAGCATTTGCCACTGACTGAAATTATTTTGCTTATTTGTTCACTTGTTTATTGTCTATATCCTTTTATATGAATTAGTATGCTCTGGCTGCAGGTAATAGAAACCCCCAACTCACTTTAAAATATGAAATTTATTATCTCATATGACTAGATGTCCAACAATAGGGAAGGCTCTAGGAAAGGGAGAATGAGTAGTTTAAAAATGACATTTAAGGGGCGCCTGGCTGGCTCAGTTGGCTGAGCATCCAACTCTTGAGATAGAGCCCCACAGCAGGCTCTGCACTCAGTGGAGAGTCTGCTTGAGATTCTCCCTCTTCTTCACCCTCTGCTCCTCCCCCTGCTCTCTCTCTCAAATAAATAATTTTTAAATGACATTCAAGGACCCAAATTCTTTCAGTCTCTATGTTCTACCATCTTTATTGTCTAGCTTCATTCTCCTCTGGCTTCCCTCATGGTTGCAAAATGGTTGCAGTGGTTCCAGGTGTCACATACAAACCCAACAATGGCCAGAGAGAAAAGATGCTATCTCTTCCTATATGTTTTCTAAAATTGGTGGGAAGTCTTTCTCCACAGTCCTCATTAGATTTTCTCCAATTTTTCATTAGTCAGTATTGGGTCATTTGCATGGAGATGGTGTAGACCAATTACTCCTAATGGAAAAGATGTTAGAAAGTCAACCACCATAACCACATAAATGATCAGTAGAACTTCAGGATGTTGTCTATCTCCTTCATGATTATAGTTCCAAAGCCTAGAGTAGTACTTAGCATACAATAGGTGCTCATTTAATAAATAAGTCCATTTAAGTAAGTAGCACTGGAAGAGGAAACAAAGCTAACATTTGTTGAGTGCCTACTAAATGCCAGACACACAACATGATCTTCATTATCATTTACTTCTCAAAACAACTTTTTTTTTAAGCTATTATTATTCTTTTACACAAAGAAAACTAATGCTTAGGAGATGAAGAACTTTGACCAAGATCATAAAGCCAGTCAGTCAGAGGACTAGGATTTGAAACTATGGGCATCTGGATCTAAAGGCCATACATTTCCCACTACAACCTAATTAACAAAAGGTATTCTTTCCTTTTCAGAAACAACTGGACAAACATGTCAATCCCATGTGAAGAACATCCAAAGAAAATCTGATTAAATTCATGCTTAAGCCTGGAAGTTATCAGGAAACCAGCGACAGTCTTTCACTGATATTACTGAAATTGTATCCCTTACCCTATCACTTGTTTATTTTCAAAATATAATCAGATGGCTGTATGCTCTGGTAAAATCAGGCAAAGGACAAGTTAAAGGGCGCCTGGGTGGCTCAGTCGGTTAAGTGTCTGCCTTTGGCTCAGGTCATGATCTCAGGCTCCTGGGATTCAGCCCAGCATCCGGCTCCCTGCTCAGCCCGGAGTCCAATTCTCCCTCTCCCTCTGCCCTGACTTGTGCTTGCTCTCACAGTCTCTCTCTCGCTCTCTTTCAAATAAATAAATAAAATCTTAAAAAAAAAAAAAAAAAGGAGAAATTGAAAAGGTATTTTTCCCCTTAAGACTAAAACGAGTTCACAGAAGTGTTTGAAATGTCTGCATAAAGTATTTGGACAAAACACTTTTTGTTTTTCTCCTGTTAATCTATTTGTCTTTGGTAAAGTGTTGGGATAAAACACTGGTATTTTGAAAGCTAAACTGTGGGAAATCTGGAAGATCAGGTCTATTTCTGATTTGGCCGTGTATTGTGGGCAGCTTGTACATAAGGGGGGCTTAATAAGGTCGACCAATCATGCAATCCACAATTACGGACAACATTGTGCCTATATTGAGCAATAGGAGACCCACCGACTACAAATACATCAAAATTCCTAGCTTTCTGTGATTACATCCATCTTTCTGTTGCCTTCTGCTGGGGAAAACAAAGAAGAAAGGAGGAGGCTTCAGTATTCAAATACTGCCAGATCAGTTGTGAACTCGCAAAGTGGTCACCCTCAGAATTGGAACAACCGGATTCGAAGACAGGCAGTCTCTGAGGTTATAGGGATCCCCAGCAAAGGGCGCGGCTACTTCCTGAGCCACACCGGAACCTTTGGGTGGGCTACATGGGTTCCAGAGGGAACGACTTAGGAACAGGATCACTTCCGCTGCTGAAGAGAAGAGAGGGGTGGGGAGGAAATAGCTCGAGGATCTGCATCCTGCTTGCGCTAGCCGCGGCTGCGAAGCAGGCAGAGAGCGGGCGGCGGGTGGAGGAGGCTGAGGGGGCGGCGGCAGAGAAGAAAGTGACAGAGCCGGTAAGTTGGCCGCCTTAGAGCAGGGGACAGTGGACAGCGCCCAGGGCTTGCTTTGCAAATCTTGTCCCAAGTTGCTGAGCTGCCGGGTGGGGTAGGGGGCCGGACTTCGTCCGCCGTCTGTCAGTCGGTGGCGAGAAGGGGCTCTTGGGGCGCCGGGGCTGGGCCTCGCGGGGCACTAGACTGTGCCGAGCTGGCTGACAGCCCTACCCCGGAGCCCGAGGAGGCGCTGGGGTTCTCACCCTGGACAGCTTCCCCGGACAAGGGCTGGAATTCGGGGGGAAGGAAATGGGTACTGTGCGTCCCATTTAACCCTCGGGACCTAGCGAGTTCTTCCAAGTGGGTGGTGGATATTGTTTCGAGCACTGAGGGAAGGGCTTGTAAAGAGAATGTTAGTCTGGAACCAGAGCTTATCTGCCCTGTTCGTGCTGCCCGGCAGTCGGAAGTGGAGTTGTTTTTAAGGGCAAATGCCACCCCCTGCTCTTGTTACTTCGGGACAAGTTAGAGCTTCAGATCCGTTGTTAAACCTGCGTGTTCCCTATCCGATCTATCATGTCAATACTGCTGTGGGTCTTTAAAAAAAAAAAAAATACTGCTGTGGGTATCTGGTAAATGTTCTGTAGGTATCCTTGATAGTGAGATCAGAGTTAAACGTCTTAAAGCACTTCTTGAAGAGACACACAGGACTAACCTAGCAATCAGGACTGTATAGCGCACTTTCCCTCACCTTCACTTATAATCGTTTTAGCGTTCCATGTCCATATCCAGAGTAAGGATAGTCATCTTTAAGACACTAAATAAAGCTTATGTTATGAATAAACGCTTGTGGTATAATATAATATAAAATTCTTTATCATTGAACGAAATGATTATATTGAGATTGTTACTGGAAAGATCGGAAATAGTTTTTTATTAAGTTACTGCTTTTCTATTGTCTTAGGTTCGGCTTTAGAGTGTGGTGAAGGGTACTTTTCATGGTGCATGGAAGGAAAGCCAATGCGCAGGTAGGCTTTTAGGAAGAAAACCTTCGGTTCACTGATTGAAATTAAGCACGTAATAATTCAGGACTTCATTTAATTTTTTTAAAGGTTTTCAAACTTTACCAAATTCTGCTTTGAACTAATGATTCTTGTTCTAAAGTAAATAAAAACTATTATCAGGAATTAATCGCTTTTGAAATAAGGGTCCAGTTTAGTACTTAAATTTCTAAAGGGTGTTCTGAATTTTATGTGGTTACTAACATTTAAATTTTCCTTTTTGCATGTTTTTTTTGTGATAAATAATCATTAAGTATAATATGATACTATATGGGTTCATTAGTCTTAATTACCTATAGAATGTAAAAGATTCTGTTGCCGTGGAAGAATAATAATTATTTGTAACACACTGTCCTGTATATCTAATTATGGTTTTGGTTATTTCAATGATGATCAATAATACATTTGTTCTGCGAAGTAAAATAGCTGCATTGCAGGAAAGATTGTTGAAGGACTAAAAAGGTATTGGACATAATAACTTAGCCCATAGAAAAATAGAACAGAGTGTAAGAAAATATAGACAATTATAAGCCCTCCCAATTCTAGAATTTAGTAATGTTTTTTCTTAATCTTTTCTAACAGATAAATCTAGAGTCCTTATCAAAACAAAATCAGCCTAGTTCTTTCTTTGTTGTTTAAACTCATTTTACATTTATTGAACTGTATGTAATCATTTGTTATTTAACATCAAAGAGGAACAGCTCTGGCAGACCCTCTTAAGAGAAGAAACATTTCATGATGGGGGTATGACTTTTGACTTAGAACCAGGAGCAAGAACCGGAATATCTGTCTTTTTCCAAATCTATTATTGATTTTTTTGATTGACCTTGAGCTATTCGCCTTCTCTGTGTCCTAATTTACTTTTCTAATGTATCTGACCAGGATATTGGGAACTAATGGGTGCTTGCAAGTGCTTTGAGATCTCCAGATGAAAAGATGTTGTGGATGTAACAAATGTCGTTATCTTATTTGTATCTAACTCCAAGTAGGAATAATATTTGACTGTGAAGTACATGAAGAAATTAACAAAAATATATTAAATGCCTTACCACTTCATCCTTTATAATGGTTGCAAAAACCACTGATTGCTTCTCTTCCTCAGCTGCCATAAATGTCATATCTTATGTAATTGCTAAAGTAAGAGCTTATTATTTTTTAAAAAGGGAAGGCACAGCGTGGGAGTGTTTTTGGTTTATCAGTAATTTCTATATAAAATATTCACTTAATCATTCATACCTACTCTCTTTTTTCTTGTTTTATTATATAATACTGCCAGTTATTCAAAAATCAAGTTGGGGGGTGGTGCCTGGGTGGCTCAGTCAGTTAAGCATCTGCCTTGGGCTGGGGTCATGATCTCAGGGTCCTGGGATCCAGCCCCACATCAGGGTCCCTGCTTGGCAGGGAGCCTGCTTCTTTCTCTCCCTCTACCCCTCCCCCAGCTTGTGCTCAAGCTGTTTCTCTCTGTCTCTCTCTCTCTTTAATAAATAAATAAAATATTTTTTAAAAAAATCAAGTTGGGGAATTCTGGTGGCATTAACTTTTAAACTACACAGCTCTTTCTTCATCACCATCACATGGCCAGAGCCCAGCCTACCATTGCTCTCTGATTTAATTTTACTTTTGCTTACATTAAGTCACCTTTCCGTATTGGGCTGTTATTTTTGCTGCTGCAGCCCAGAAGGCAGTCTCTGTAAAGTAATGTTGGTTAATTTTATACTTAGCTGCTATTGGAGAAGCTTTGAATGAGAAGTAACTGTATACTAAGATTATTTGAATACATGTTCATTCTCCCTACTAGGATATAAGCTCTTTAAGTCTCATATGTCTTCCATGTGTTTGTATCCCTGGCACCTAATGATTACTGAATAGTAATTCAAATAACCACACAATATCTGCAGACTTCTCCTCTGAGTGCCCCCTGCCAAAAAATATGAACGAGAGGAAGATTGAAAACTATTGTTAAAGGTATTCTAATGCTTAAAAATAAAGTTTTATGACATTGGTTGATATTAGTAAAGCTTCATTGCATTCATTTAACTAGTCATTATGTGTACAGATACAAAATTTAAAAGATACAGTAAGATATTCAGTGAAAAATAAGTCTCCCAATGCCAATCCCAGCTCCTAGTTCTCCTCTTTATAGGCCACCACTATAAACAGTTTCTTACTCATTTTTTGTAGACATTATAATACATATACAATCATATATAGAATATCTCTTTTGTGAAAACACTAATGTCAGCATATCATGCACATTTTTCTCTTCTTTTTTCACTTCCCACATTATTTTGTAGATGGTGACAAATACATATAGACCCACCATATTCTTTGTAATAGTTACATAGTATTTCATTGTCTGTAGGTGCCATAGTTAACCAGTCCTTTTCAGAGACATTTAAGTTATTTTGCTGTTATAACCAGTTCTGCAGTGACTATCCTTGTCAGTGGTTTTTGCCCAAATGTGTGTGTATAGAATAAATTCTTAGATGTAGAACTGCCCAAAAAGTATGTGTGTTTTTAAATTTTGGTAGATACTGACAAATTTCCTTCCTGAGAGATTATTCCAATCTATAGTCTCACTAAAAATGTGCCTGTTTCCCAGAAGATGGCTCTCCTCAATTAAGAATATTACCTTAGGAATAGAAGGTCTAAGGAATGTGTGACATGATAGCCCTGAAATTTGAAGGTGACTTACACATTTGGGTGGGTGGAAATGTTATTTACTTAGGGAGGTACCAAAATTTGTAACATTCCTTTGGTAAACATGAAGCATATTTAAGATACCTGATTTGTTCTTTGGTTTATGCTTCCTACCTGCACATGATTCGGTTATTGTCACTATTAAGAGATATCAGTATTCATAGAAAATACCCATCCTGGGGCATCTGGGTGGCTCAGATGGTTAAGCGTCTGCCTTCGGCTCAGGTCATGATCCCAGGGTCCTGGGATCAAGCCCCATATTGGGCTCTTGGCTCAGCAGGGAGCCTGCTTCTCCTTCTCCCTCTGCCTCTCCCCCGGCTCATGCTCGCTCTCTCTCTCTCTCTCTCTCTCTCTCTCTCAGTATCTCTGTGTCTCAAATGAATAAATAAATCTTTGGGGCGCCTGGGTGGCTCAGTCATTAAGTGTCTGCCTTCGGCTCAGGTCATGATCTCAGGGTCCTGGGATCGGGCCCCACATTGGGCTCCCTGCTCAGCGGGAAGCCTGCTTCTCCCTCTCCCACTCCCCCTGCTTGTGTTTCCTATCTCGCTGTGTCTCTATCTGTCAAATAAATAAATAAAATCTTTAAAAATAAATAAATAAATAAAAATCTTTTAAAAAAATTACCCATCCTTTTACCTAGCCTACATTTCCTCGACTTCCTAAATTCTTGTGACTTTGACCTTCACTTAAGTGTTTCATTCCTACTCTCACTGAGAACAACTTTCTCTCTGAAATCATAAATCCTCATACTTTTTTCCTGAGCATAACCTGTGAAACGCCCATTCCATCAGTTCTTTTATGTAGTCACAATCAACATGCCTTTGGCCCTTCTGTTTTCACACAGTTCACTTCTGCAACTACTTCAACCATTTTCTAGCCATCACTCAATTCCCTAGATTGTTCATGGCATCTCCCAACTCTTGATTAATGTAAACATTTATATTCCCTGATTTGAAAGGTTGATTTACTGCTGGATGAAACCAGCCATGGGATATTTGTGCTACTGTAATCAGAGTCTGTAATATTATTTGAGCCAACATTGTTCTCCAGCAGTAATTCTGAAGGTCCCTGGGTAATGCTTACTCATTCCCCACAGCAGCTGTGTCACATCTTCACCCATTCTCTTGTGATCCTGTCACTGCTCCTCTCACTGGCAGCAACTTCACAGAAATAAAATAGGGGCCATCAGGTATGAACTTCTCCAAGCTCCTGATGCCTCCTTCCCATAAAATAAATGTATCGTTTCCACCTTATTTTCCCACCCCACTCCCTTCCTCTGATCTCTTATGTAAGCCCTTCTACCTTTTGTCTAAGAGTCATTCCTCTGTATTTTGGTTCCATACACTCCCACTCTTCAAAGATCTCACTCCATCATTTATTCTTTCCCTTTTATATTTTTTAATTTCTCCCTCCTCATTCTTCACATCAGTATATATCATTTTCCAGTCTTCCTTAACTTTAAACTGACATAGTATTGGATGTCTCTTCTCTTCACAGGTAAGCTTTATTCTAGAAATATTCCATACTCACTGTCTCTTTCTTTACCTTCATTGACCACTGCCACTGACTACCTCAGGTTTTTACTGAAAGTTTAGGATAATGAAGTTTTTTGGCTACTCATCATTTTCTTACTGGCTGTCCCTCCTTAGATCACAACCTGCCACCATTTTTATCAGTTCCTCTTTCCTTCCCTTCTTTCTTTCTTCTAAGTTACTGTTACTTTATTATACTGAGCAGTTTAGTCTCTTTGTTATAATCCTGGTATCTCTAGAAGAGGTTAAAAAACAAAATCTTGTATCTTTAGGTAGTTCATATAAATGTGGGGCACAGCTTCACAAGACAAAGAGTGGTGGGGACTGTGGTGAAGTAAGAGTACAAGCCCTCCTAATGATACTCAAATTCAATTTCAATTTCAATCTCAAAACAAAACAAACCAAAATGGACAGGCAAAAATCCTTCTGATGGTCTTTATCATTCCAGGGGACCCTCACCTTGCCTTTTATAATTAAAAGGCCTAAATACTTGTTTTCTCAAAAGCACCATCTGTCTCTGAAATAAATGTTGTTCTTTTTCCCAGAATGTAAAAGAACAATAATTGAAATTTTTTAATAGCATTTTTTTCCTTCTCACCATATGTAGAGATTCAAATGTAGTAATTATAGTTTCTTAAACTGATTCCATAATATCTGATGCCTGCCTTACAGAATTTTTTAGATTTATTGACGTTTTGGTAAATATGAATCCTTCTTGTTTTATTTGATTTTATATGTTTGATAATGACGCTTTTACTTTCTTTTTCCTTTATACCTGCATTTTGAATTACTGCTTTCTCCATTCTGTTATTTCCCTTCAACTTAGGTCAATATATTCTTTTTGTAACAACTGACTTAGTCAAATTTTATTAGCCAGTTATTAGTCAAACTTTAATGTGTGTTAAAATTACCTACTTGCTAAATGCAGATTCTAGAGTCATACTACCAGAGATTCTGATTCTCTAGTACCTCAGGAGCCTGCATTTTAATCAAACACCCCTGTATATCTGGTGTCAGAGAAACACAATTATTTGAAAAGTTAATATAACAGCTTAATAGGAATTGGGCAATCAGCGAATAATAGTGTCTTCTCACATTTTCACTTCATTTGAAAGAAAAGCCACAAATTCAAGCCATAATTTTAAATCTATCAATACCATGTTTAGAAAATCTGGTAATAATGGAGGAAGACCCTCTAGATACAAGAGTATTTGACCAATCAAAGCAAGGGGAAATTTCTATATTCAAATTGGTTAGTAAATTTAGAATATGTGGCTGATTTTACTTTCTCATTTTAACTACCATGTTTTTGGTATCAGAATGTTTTGGACTGAAAGTCTTGACTCAAACTGGTTTAATCAACATGGAAACCTTTTGTTTACATAACAAGAAGGCCATGGGTAGAGTGGGTTCCAAGGTTGGTTTGAGACAGTGGCCTGATAATAGCATCTTGGATCCAAGTTCTGTCTCTCCAATGTAGCTGTGCAATAGCAGCTTCATCCTAACCCAAAATTGATCTTCCATTCCACTACCACCTACCAGTGTAGAATGCTACATTCTTCTTTGTTAATGCCTGGCAGAAGAAACTCCCTAAATCATGGAATATAAGTCTGTTCCTATAGTTTGATGACCAGCTGAGGTAAGAGCATGCCATCAGCTAATTGATTTGAGAGAATTCAGGATTCGTCCTTAAAAGCTAGGGACATGGTCATCTTCCTCTGAAGCAAATGGCTAGTAGAGGAACAAAATCAAGGTTATGTTGAAGTTTGAGAGAGTTGATGGTAAAATATGATATTAATAGAATTTATCTTGAAGTTATGCTTTTCGTCAGTGCTAAAAGAATAAAAAATCTGCTAAGGTTATTATTAGCAGATCTTACACCCTTTGGTTTTAGAAAGACTGATTTCTTTCCCTGAATTGACAGAGTCATTTTGTGAGGGAAGGCAAAAGCTCTGTTTGGTCTCCCTAGTTTGTTAACTGTGGGTAGGGTCCAGAGTAATCCTTTCACTTGCCTCCTTCAACCTTAAAGTACATGTAGATTACTCTTGCAAATTAAGTTAATAAAAATGTTATTTGGGTTCAGTTTCTTTTTGTCTGTATTTGTAGTATCATTAGTTCAATACTGGAATAGAAAGCCACAGATTGAAAAAGCAAATAATTAGAGATCTTCTAGTTTTTCTAGATGAATATTTACTTGGACAATAAAGCTTGCTGCCTCAAGGTTTAATTAAAACCTTTTGTAGGGTTCTGTCCTGGGGAGCAGTTCACACCTCAATTTACCATCCCCCCCACCAGGTCTTTAGAGTATTTATTTCAGCAGACTCCAAACAAAGAAGTTGTGAATATAGCTGTGACAAGGTGTAAACACACTCTATTTCTAGGACCCTTATTATAACTTCCCTTCAGAAGGTGCCCAGAAAAATGTACAAAAAAACCCACTTTTCTGCAGTTAGAATCCTGTGGATGTAATGAGACTAATGGAGGATATGCACTTAGATTTTTTAAAGTACACATTTACAAAAACAAAATAGCAGAACCATAGGAGAAATAACTTAGTGTATAGAATTAAATATGGCTTTTGGAATTAAATTGTTAGAATTAAATACTGCTTCTCAGGACATTTAAAATGAGGTACTCCAAATCTCAGCCTACCAGTAATCCCTCTTCTCGTTTCTTCTCATTCTCCTAAAAGGGCAACATGGTCCAGCCATGGGCAGTATGCTTGCTTTTTTTCTCCCATCTAAGAATAACAACTACATAAATCAGATTGCCAGAGTCATTTCTATTTCAAATACTCAATCCAGTTGCCTAAGACAGTTTGGGATAATAAAGCACTGACTTTGAAATCAGAGGACCTACATTCAGACAAATCCCAACACTGTCACTCCTTGTAAGGTAAGTTTAATTATCCCTACATTACAAATAATGAACTTGAGGATCAGAGAAGTTAAGTCATTTGCCTGAGATTATACCTAATAAGTGATGGAGGTAAGGTTTGAACCTGGCTACAAGTTTGCCTGGCTACAAACCTGGTTTCAAGAGAATTTGACAAGACTTCAGGAGGTATAGTTTTTTGGGGCAGGAATAAAAGCTGAATTCATTTAACAACAATTTAATGAACACTAGATCCAGGTATTGGGTTATAGCAGTGAGCAAAGAAAAACATAAGGGCCTTGTTCTCACAGATCTTATATTCTATTTGGGGGAAAAAGCCACTATATCAGTAGGTAATATATTTATGAAGAAAAATGAAACAAATAAAGGGTATAGCGTGGTAGGAATTTAAGAGATGCTATTTCATAGAACATCATGTTGGGGAGGAGGAATTTCCTCTACCCTTCAAGGTCCTTCTAGCTGGACTTAGAATCAAATTAACAATGAGATAGATTAACAGGATGAAGTCAAATTTAATAGCCTTCTTAGGGGGAATCCATACAGACATGGAAATTCCAAAGATAGTCAGGCAATGAAATACTTACATGAGCAGGGGAGGGGTAGGGTCTGAGGGTACAAAGGGGAGAAAGACCTTTAGCAGAAGGGAAAGATGTTTAGAAAACAAAGGTGCCCTATTTATGTAGATAAGTTTCTTAGGTAAAGAGAAATGTGTTAATAGCTCTCTTCCTGGTAAAGCAGGCAGTTGAGGGGGAAGTAAAGAGCTTTTTCTGAGTCTGCTGGGTTTGGATTGCTTTTAACTCAAAATAATGTTCATGCCAAAGTGGCCCACCTGGGGGTGGCCTGCCACTGGCCCCTACAGTGGTCTGGTAAGTTGACATTTGAGCAGAGATCTGAAAGAAATGAGGAAGTGAGCTCTTCATAGTTATCTGGGGGAAGAACCTTTCAGGAGGAAGGAATAAGGCTCTTTAGTGAGAGAAGTCTTGGCATGTCCCAGAAAATAGCAAGGAGGTCTGTGTGACTAGAGAACAATGGGCAAGAGGGAAGCAGTAGGAGATAAATTCAGAGTTAGGGACACCTGGGTGGCTCAATCGGTTAAGCGGCTGCCTTCGGCCCCCGTCATGATCCCAGGGTCCTGGGATCGAGTCCCACATCGGGCTCCTTGCTCAGCAGGGAGCCTGCTTCTCCCTCTCTCTCCCTCTGCTTGTGCTCTCTCTCTGTCAAATAAATTTAAAAATCTTAAAAAAAAAAAAATGCAGAGTTAGCCAGGGGAAGAGTCATGTAGATGTTGGTAAACCTTATATGCTTTGTTTTTTAATATGAGTGTTTTACTATGAGTGTTTAAAGCATTTGGAGCACTCCTCTAGTGGCATAATCTGACTTTTTTTTTTTTTAAGATTTTATTTATTTATTAGAGCGTGCACAAGGGGAGGGGAAGGGCAGGGGAGAGGAATAGGGAGGGGAAAAGAATGTCAAGCAGACTCTTCAATGACATTGGAACCCAATGCAGGGCAGGGTCCCATGACGCTGAGATCATGACCTGAGCTGAAACCAAGAGTCTGACGCTTAACTAACTGAGCCGCACAGGTTCCCCATAATCTGACTTTTCTAAAGGATCAGTTAGGTTGTTTAGAGAAGAGAATATAAATTGGCAAAGGTAGAAGCAAGAAGACCATTTATGAGACTATTATAATATAAAACAGTGAAAATAGCCTGAATTAGGGTGGGGCTGGTGAAGATGCAGAGAAATAGTTGGAATCTAGATATTATTTGGAGGTAGAATGACAGGATTTGCTGATGGATTAAGTTTGAGGGTGTGTGGAAGGGAAGGGGCTCCCAAGATTTTTGGCCTGAGCAACTGGAAGAATGAAATTGCTTTTTATTAATCTGGGGAAAGCTAGAAGAGAGCATGTTGGAGAAGGTAGAGAATCAAGGGATCCATTTTAGATACATCATTGAGATCTATTTAGCTTGTGTGATAAGAGACATTCATATGGATCCAGATTGAGACCTTATCCAGGCAGGAGATAAGGCTCTTTTAGCCATTCATATATGGGTGATGGGAACCATGAGATTAGATGAGCTCCCCTAAGAATGTGTGTAGAGAGCAGAGAGGATCGAATTTTAGAGAATGACCACATTTAAGAGATTTTTTTGCAAGTTTGCAAACTAGACCTTTGATAAGAGTTTACAAATTAGCCATTATTAAAAATCAGAATCTATACTAATACAGTAATAATAGCACAATTTTTTTTGCTATGGTATACTTTTAAATGAAAGGGAGATATGTAGAAATTAGCTTCCATATTGTATATAGGCAAAATAAAAAATTGTTTATATCTGAGTTTAATAGTACTGTCTTTATGTACATAATTATAGTTACAACAAAATGTTTTCATTTCAACATGCAATGTCAATATTAAAATAGGAATTTTTGAATTTATCTTGTTTTTAATGGTGGTTCTTTTTTAAAGAAGCTTGATTGTACCACTGTTAATTAACCATGTGATTTATTCTTTCAGCATCTACTATGTACAAGGTATCTTTAAGCACTGTGGTTAAAAGCTTCCTTGATTGTTTATGTGGGTGGTAAAAATTATTCTTTAACTGCTCAGTTTTTTTTAGTCTTTAAATTGTCAAGCATAAACAGTGCTGTTTCTACCAGATGTCAGAATTATGAACATTTTGTATTCTAGAATACAGAATCACCTATGGGCTAAGGCCAAGCCTAGAAAGATTGAATTTATAAGTACTTTGGAAAAACAGGTTGGGAGAAAGGCACAACTGTCTTCTTTGCTTTCAGGCTGTGCCTTTGTAATGTAAATGTAGTTTCTTTTCCCAAAATGTCCTTTTCTTCTCTCCTTCCCTGGGGACTCTTTCAACACAGGTGTTTTATTATACTGCAGTTCTTGTTGGTGCCACAGCTTTAGGGGTAGTAAACTGATACTGTCCCTTGCAGGCCAGATACTAGACTATCTCAATATAGTCATAGATGATTAAGTCTGTGAGACTCACATGAGGCTGACCTAAAACCCAGTGATCAGAACGTTGGAGCTACCTAACCCCCTTTTAAATAACATGGAAGAATTATTCATCAGAAGACTGCTTAGTGAATATAGAATCAGAAGCAGAAATACAATGATCTGGACCATGGGTATAGGATATTTCACCTAAGTTCCAGAATAACCCAATTTAATATTCCTACTTCACAACAAAAATACATACCTGTGAAGTAACCTTGTAGCTTATGCCAGTTAGATCTAGGATCTTTCCAGTATAAACAAATACTTTATTGATTTTTGCCTTTCTGACCATAGTTTGTATCCTGGTTGCCCTCTCTCTAGTTATTCCCGTATCTCCCCTTCTCAATAGTTAGGTTCCCTGGTTGCCTCTTTATATTCCTTTGAATTTTTCTCAGTTTGAGCAAAATGCTTTGTAAATTATATGCAATTAGTAAATATTTGTTAAAAGAATAATTACCATTTTAGAGGGGCATAGATCTCTTTTCTCTGCGTATCAGTAGATACAGTGTGATGATTATGAAAATCCAAATATCTTCATTACACTTATGTGTCAGTTTAAATTTGTGGCATTTATCTAGCAAGTTAACCCCTGAATTTCTGAAATATGAACATAACATGTAAACTTTGCTTCTCATATATTATCTGGAATAACTTTTTAAAAGGTAATAAGCCTTTGACTATATTTTATTGGAAATGTAATGTAATTTCTTATGTTTAAAGTTTAAATGTTTAAAGATAATTTTGAAAAATTCTTAGACTATCCCAGTATTGTTTAGCTGGAAAAGACTTAGGTTCAATTTTGTTTGCTATTTTCCTCAAGCTTAACATTCATTTTGTAGGCCTCTTACCAAGTTCGTTGATTCTTCTGACAGTTCACCGGTGAAGTTCTTTATGATGACTGGACCAAAATAATCTGCATTTATTGCAACTTCCTAGGCTTTTAAAAAAGAATTGTACTGAAATTTGGATATCCACAAGGAAAAAAACTGAAAATTTTATTTTGAATTGTTAAATAATTCTACAACTCCCTTCTCTCCCCAACCCAGCATTCACATCAATCCCAGTTACTAAATATTTGCAGTGCCCCAGGAGACAATTGTGGTTTATCCAAAAGCATCAGGAGACCTGCTCTGCTACTGAAAGGATAGCTTCATGATTTTAGCAAGTCACCTAACCAAATCAGTTTCTTCATCTGTTAAAGGAGGATATTATGCTAAATGATCTGATGGTCCATTCTGTTTCACATCTCAGTCTCCATTCTTCAAGCTAGGTAACAGATTATGCCAAGCAAGGAAGGATGGTTTTCATATTTAAAGACTTCTGGAGAACATTAACATGTAAAATTTACTAATACATATATACCCTGATCCTGTGATGCAATGTGTATCAAATTTGAGAAATTTACAGAGCTGCCACTTTTTTTTTCAGATCCTTTTTTAAAGGAAAATAATTATTACAGCCTCTCAAGAGTGTGTCCTGTAGCACCATTAGGGTAACACGTACTTAAATATATAAGAAATGCCCAACTTACAGACTTCCAGAGTCTTTGCATAAAAGTAGCTTCCCAAGCTCCAGCCATCACCCTACCCAAAAGCCACCAAAAACAATAGCAACAGCAAATCCTAGATCAATACCAAAATGACAGATATTCTTTTCCTTCTCCTTGTACCTCTTGGCCCTTTTGTCTTAGGACTTCAAAACTCAGGTCAGAATTCTGTGTCAGTGGCTTTTAAACTTATTTGATATACAGCCTGCAAAGGGACCTAATTATGCAAATGTATATGAACTTAAATGTGTATAGAACACATAGTTGAAACATATTTAATTAAAAGGAATGTATGCCAATATTTTTTCTTCTATTTCATTTTTTTAGTGCTGCTTTTAACACACCGAATTGATTTTACAACTAAACCTAGCCACACTTACAGCACTCTTACTAAAGACAAATACAAACCTCCAGGCAGCATAAAATTAAACTTTTAGAAAAGTATTTGTAAAGTGGAGAATGTCTATTTATGTACCTATACATTTTTTTTTAATTTTATTGTTATGTTAGTCACCATACATTACATCATTAGTTTTTGATGTAGTGTTCCATGATTCCTTGTTTGCATATAACACCCAGTGCTCCATTCAATACGTGCTATACATTTCTTTTGTGATCATAGTAAACCTTCATCAATTCTGACTGATTTGGTAGGAACAATTGGATATATGTAGTACTTTTATTTCGGGGGGGAAGGGGCAGCGGGAGAAGGGGAGAGACAATCTTAAGCAGGCTCCATGCCCAGCACAGAGTTCAGTGTGGAGCTTCGATCTCACAACCCCGAGATCACGACCTGAGCCAAAATCAAGAGTCAGACGCTTAACTGACTGAGCCACCCACATGTCCATGACATATGTAGTACTTTTAAAGGAATGAGGCTTATTATCAGATTTAATATCTCTAGCCCAAATTAGTTTAACAAAGTCTTTCTCGAGGCTCTTAAGAGTTCTACTAAATAAAAAAATATTTTACCTGCCATCTTCTTTACCACTTTAATATTCATAAACTGTGAAGAAAAGATTTCTAAGTGAAGATAAACTTCAATCCAGACTTGCTGGATTATCATTAATTCAAAATTTATGTAAATATTAATTGAAGCATATCAACTCAGATTAGATTTTTTTATTTGATTTCTAATATGGATAAGCATAACTACCTTATCTAAAAGGAATGTAGATAGTTCTATTACTAGGATAGCTACAATTTAAAATTGTTAACATGTAATTGTCAGCAAGCCCTGAGCTGGAAGCTTTTATGTACATTATCTCATTTAATCTTTACCATATGGGGTAGATACTTACCCATTTTAGAGTTAAAGAAACTGGGGATTAGGAAGGATAAGTAACTTGTCCAGTAATTATCTGTACTAGCATTTCAACCCAGGTCCATCTGTTACACAGTGTGCTTTGAAACTTTATGCTAACTAATGACAGAGTAGCCATAGTACCCAAGTGTCAGAGCTGTTAGACTTGGGGAGAAAAATAAAAGAAATCTTAATTTAAGGTATGGTAAAATATTTTGAGACATCTATGGCTGGACTAAGACTTAGGCAGAGAAGAGAATTTTAACTCGTTTCTCCCTGTGAGTGGCTTGTAAAATCTTTGGTTTGAGTCTTTCCCTTTTTTACAAACTAATGTGATTACATAGTTATTTACTATATTTCCTTGCTTATAAGACACATGACTCATTTAATAACTTTTTAGAAGTGTAAATATTGCATTAAAGGTATGTAAAGCTTTTATTAGCTGATAGTCTAACATGTATTTATCCATATAATCAATACCTAAGTTTTCTTCAATATCACAAAGTTTGATTCTAAGCTTTCCTCTCATTCACAGACCAAAGAATGTCCTGAATTATGTCTGGCCATCACAATTATCTGTAGCATCCCAGCAACACACTAGTTTTTGTAACCCGGGCTTGTATTTTGGGTTTTTGTTTTTTTAGTTTAGTTTGTTTTTTACTTAGCACCATTGTGATAGACTGTACAAACTGTGAAAACTATGCATCTTAAAATAAAGGAAATATAGTACTATATATAAAGTTAATTTGGAGGACCTCGGCCTCCTTTTTCTGATCTTTTCATGCAGCATGGGCTATAATATTTTATAGCTTTGTGCTGAACCTGAGAGAAATCTAAAATATTATCTGTGATAATGAGAAATAAACATTTCTGTGTTTTAGAAAAATAACAAATATCAATATTTTGGTTAAACCAGATTAAGGATTTAAAGTCCACAGATCTGTTTTGTTCAGAGAGAGAATAATTTACAAGTGTTTTTCATAAACTTTTATTAATGTCTTGCAGGTAGTTATAAAAGATGTGGCCCGAGACAGTCTAGTCTGAGTACTTATGAGATGAAAAAAGAATTGTCCTTTATTTTATGGAAGTGCATAATGAAAGTGCCCTGATTTGGGATTAATAATGTTTGTTCTTCAGAAGACTTTAAGGAAGTTTATGAGTTTTAGTGTTCTTAGAAAGGAAGTTCTTTGGGAGCTTAGTTCTCCCTTTTGATTACCTGCAGGTTTCCCTATCTCTTGACTGTGAACACTTTATGGCAAGAGTGAGTTTCTAATAATATTGCCATCATCTTTCTTCCCTCCTTCCCCCATTCCTGTAGGTGTACCAACATTCGACCAGGAGAGACTGGAATGGATGTAACAAGCCGCTGCACCCTTGGAGACCCCAATAAACTGCCAGAAGGGGTTCCCCAACCTGCCCGCATGCCCTATATCTCAGACAAGCACCCTCGACAAACCTTGGAAGTGATTAACCTTCTGAGAAAGCACCGGGAGCTCTGCGATGTGGTGCTAGTTGTGGGCGCTAAGAAGATATATGCCCATCGAGTCATTTTGTCAGCCTGTAGTCCCTACTTCCGAGCTATGTTTACAGGAGAATTGGCAGAGAGCCGTCAGACAGAAGTTGTGATTCGAGACATAGATGAGCGGGCTATGGAGCTACTGATTGACTTTGCATATACCTCCCAAATAACCGTGGAAGAGGGCAATGTTCAGACCCTTCTGCCAGCTGCTTGCCTCCTTCAGCTGGCAGAGATACAGGAAGCTTGCTGTGAATTCTTAAAGAGACAGTTAGATCCCTCTAATTGCCTGGGCATTCGGGCTTTTGCTGACACACACTCATGTCGTGAGTTGCTAAGGATAGCAGACAAGTTTACTCAACATAACTTTCAAGAGGTGAGTTGTACTGGTGGTTTGGATGCGTTCATAATGTATTGGTCAGGAGAGCACTATGAGTTCATGTTCTGCTAACCAACATGTACCTGTTTGGGTATTTACTGCTGATTCTAACTCATAATACCAAAGATATAAATTGTTATAAATTCTAAGCCTGGTTTTTATTTTAGAGACCAATTTCATGTTCTGTCAACCAAAGGTAAAGTTTAGGGATTTGATTCTCCCTAGCCATACTAATAAACTAGTTTATAAGTCAGAATACAGTTTATTAATTCATTAGGAGATCAGTGTCTGATAGGATACCTCATATCAGTCATTTGCATGAAACATTACCTTCCTGATTATATGGATTGTTCAGCAGAATAAATAATAAATCAGCAGTTACTTGGAGAACTAACAATCGGGAAAAAATGAAGTTAGATGTATATGAAAAGAATGTTTCATTAAATCTGTTTTCATTTATTCATTTATTTAATAAATATATGAAAAGCTACTGTTTCAGCCACTGTACTTGGGGAAAAAAGGCTACATATAGTAGTGAACAAGATGCCTAGAGTGTCTGTTCTTATGGAGGTTATAATCTAGCAGGGAGGATATCCATTGAATGCATAATTACACAAATAATTAATTACAGTTTATAGGTGCTACAAAGAAGCGGATGATTTAGCGTATTACAGAGAGATTTAACTTTGGTTCTGAAACAGCTCATTGCAAAATTCTGAGACATAGGGTGCCTGGGTGGCTCAGTTGGTTAAGCGACTGCCTTCAGCTCAGGTCATGATCCCAGGGTCCTGGGATCGAGTTCCGCATCGGGCTCCCTGCTCTGCGGGAGGCCTGCTTATCCCTCTCCCACTCCCCCTGCTTGTGTTCCCTCTCTCGCTGTGTCTCTCTCTGTCAAATAAATAAAATCTTAAAAAAAAAAAAAAAATTCTGAGACATAGGTTGAGAAACTGAAAGAAACCCAGTGAGACCCAGAGAGCAAAAGGGAGGATGTTACATAATGATTTTACAGAAAGAAGGGAGCCCCATCACACTGGAGTTAATAGACCATGTTAAGAATTTGAAATTTAATCTTAAGAGCAATAGAAAACCATTAAAGGGCTTTAAGCAAAGACATGGTCCCTTTTGCACTTTACTATCACTCTTCTCCCCAGCAGGATAACTTCCAATGGATCAAAGATTTAAAAATACAAAATGAAACCATGAAAATATTAGAAGATGACATGGAGCAATTTCTTTTTAATCCTGAATTGAGAAAGGCCTTTCTAATTGACTAACACAGAAGGCATAGAAGAAAATACTGATAGACTTGACTACATAAAAATAAAAAATTTTTTCAGGGTAAAACAAAAAAACATAACAAGATAAAAGTCAAAGACAAAGTGAGGGAGTGGGTGACACCTGGATGGCTCAGTTAATAGAGCATGCAGCTCTTGATCTCAGGGTTGTGAATTCTAGCCCCGCGTTGGGTGTACAGATTACTTAAAAATAAAATCTTAAAAAAAATAAAAGATAAAATGGAGCAAAATATTTGCAACTATCACAGACAATAATCTCTTTAATACAGCAAGAGATTTTATTGGTCAACAACCTAGACTAATGATGTAACCAAAAAATGGGCAGTAAACAAATTCAGATTGCCCTTAAACATATGAAAATCTGCTGCAGGTTGTTCAAAATGACTGAAACATAAATTATACCAAAGTACTATTTTTCATTTCTCAGATTACAAAATTATAATCTATCAGATTCCAAATATCTAGAAGTTTGATTCCACACCCTGTTGACAAGGCCACGGAGACAAGGTAATGGAGCTACATTGCTAGTGTGAATATAAATTGATACAACCTCCTTGAAAGGAAATGTGTACACTTTTTTTCACACTCTTTGACTCAGCAGTCCCATTTCTGGGAATTTGTGCTACAAATTTACTGGAGAAAGGAGCAGTTTGAGGAGATGAGATCATGGGTTTTGTTTTAGATATATTAATTTGAAACACCTATAAGATCTCTAAATAGAGATACTGAGCCAGGCCACTGTTATGAGTCTTTTATCTTAGAGGTTAGACTGAGATTAAAATTTAGGAGTCATCAACTCATAGTAATAAACTATGATGGCTTAATCCTTTTAAGGCAGGATTTAACCCAGAAACCTTTATAAAAGGTTGATAAATTTGATTGCATAAAAATTTTAAACTTTTTTATAACAAAAAAGCACCAAAAACAAGGTCAAAAAATCAATGCCAATGAGCTCACCAAGAAGGGAGAGAGAAGAGAAAGCCTTAAAATTTTTCCAGCATTGAAGGATGGTTAGTGAAAGAGCAACTGGCAGAGGAAAAAGGGAATAACTAGAGAAGAGAGAAGAGGAAAACCAGGAGTATGAGATCATGAAATGCAATGGAAGGGATTTTTTTTTTAAGAATAAGGAAATTATATATATGTGTGTGTGTATGTATACTGGCATAGCCAGGAAGTTTCCAGAAATTAAGATTAGGGCCATTGGCCTTAAGAAATAGTAAAACATTACAAACATTTTGGTACTAGAGAAGGTATGGATCAGTGGAGCTGAAAAGAGTCCAGAAGTTGACATTTCAAGTCCGTGGAGGAAAGTGGAATTGTTCAATAAATGTCATTAGGAAAATGGTGATTTGGGGGAAAAAATAAAGATGGAATTCCCAGTGGATGAATATTTTAAACCTAAAAAACAAAATTCTAAAAGTTCTAGAAAATACCATTAGTTGGCTGGTAGTAAAAATGACCTTTCCAAGCAGGATACAACTGAGAAGCCATAAAGAAAGATAAATTTGATTGTCTAAAAATTAAGAATTTTTGTTCTTTATAACAACAATAACAACAATAGCACTATAAACTAAATCAAAAATCAATGCCAAACTCATATGTGGAGCATACATGACAGAAAAAAACAATAATTCCCATAAAACTCATACAAATTCAGTGAGAAAAAAAACCTTGAAAAACACAATAGAAAAATAGGTAAAGGTATGAATAAGTAAGGTGTAAAAAGAGATTTTCAAATGTAAATAAACATACAAAAGCTTAGTCCCCCTTACACATAATTAAACATACATCAGAACAAGACATGATTGTTAACCTATCAGGTTGGAAAAACAACTTTTTAATTTTATTTGAAAAAAATTCAAATTTTCAAGAAATTATAAGAAAAAGAAAAAACTTTCATATATCCCTTACCCAGATTACCAGTTGTTAACATTTTGCCACATTCACTTTACCATTCCCTCCTTGTTGTATCAAATCTTTTTCTCTGAACAATTTGAGTATATTGCATACATCATATTCCTGTACTCTTGAACATTTCAGTGTGTATTGTCTAAGAACAAGGATATTTTTTTACATAGAATTCTCTTACAGCAGTTCATTTATCAAATGCAGGAAATTTAACATTGATAAAAACATTATTTAATCCATAGTCCCCATTCCAGTTTCACCAACTGTTGCAGTATTGTTTTTTTTTAAGATTTTATTTGACAGAGAGAGAGACAGCCAGAGAGGGGATACAAGCAGAGGGAGTGGGAGAGGGAAAAGCAGACTTCCCGCCGAGCAGGGAGCCCAACTCAGGGCTCGATCCCAGGACCCTGGGACCATGACCTGAGCCGAAGGCAGACGCTTAACGACTTGTTCTTTTTAACAGTTTTTTCCCAGTCCATATTCCAGAGCAGATGATTGCACTGCATTTATTTGTCATGTTTGTTGAGTTCTAGATAATCTGTAGTAGTTCCCTCCACATTTAAAAGCATAGGCCACTTGTCTGATGTTTCCTCATGGGTAGATTCAATATACATTTTTTTCCTTTTTTTTTTATTTTATTATGTTATATAAATCATACATTACATTATTAGTTGTTTTTTTTTTTTAAGATTTTATTTATTTACTTGACAGAGAGAGACACAGCGAGAGAGGGAACACAAACGGGGAGTGGGAGAGGAAGAAGCAGGCTTCCCACTGAGCAGGGAGCCCGATGCGGGGCTCGATCCCAGAACCCTGGGATCATGACCTGAGCTGAAGGCAGATGCTTAACTGACTGAGCCACCCAGGTGCCCCTACATTATTAGTATTTTGATGTAGTGTTCCACTATTCATTGTTTGCATATAACACCCAGTGTTCCATTCAGTACATGCCCTCTTTAATACCCATCACCAGGCTGGCTCCTCCCCCCACCCCCCTCCCCTCTAGAACCCTCAGTTTGTTTCTCAGAGTCCATAGTGTCTCATGGTTCGTCTCCCCCTCCGAATTCCCCCCCTTCATTTTTGACAGGAGTACTAGTAAGTGATATTTTGTCCTCAGTACATCACAGAAGTACATAGTATCTATTTGTCCCATTACTGATTATGTTAACTTTGATCATTTGGTTAAGTGGAGTCCCCAAAGTTTCCTATTAAGTTATTATTTTTCTTTTTGTAACTAGTAAGAACTTTGACAGATACTTCAAATCCATGTAAATATCCTATTCCTTATCAAACTTGTACTCACTTTCACTCACATCCATTGATAATTTCTACCCAAATTAGTTATTACTATGATGGTTGTAAAATGGTGATTAAAAAAAAAAAATTCCCACTTTTCTATCAACGTTCTGCTATAAGGAAGAATATTCCTTGTTCTGAGTGATTGGTTGGCATTATGGATTCATAGACTTTTATTCTAGTTGATGGATTATAGTCCTTTGTTACCATTTATTATTTTGGTGCTTTATAGTCTGATTTATCCTTCCTATGCTTACTTTTGCAAAATTAAGCAGACATATGCATGTTTTTTTATTTCCATTTCTGTCCTACACAAAAGGTAGCATTGTGTATATTCTCTGTTGCACTTTGCCTTCTACTTAATTTATTCCAAAATTCATTCCATATCAGTTCATAGAGATCTTCCTTGTTCTCTCTCCACAGCTGCATTCTTCTAGTGTGTACCACAGTTTGTTCAATCAGTTTCCTATGTTTGAGCATTTAGATAGTGTTCAATGT